ACTTAAATGCATTTCATCACCATATTGGGGGGTTATTCCTTTGTTTTGCTGCAAATATATCCAACTGCTGTAAAAGGAAAAGACAATTTGTTAATGAAGCTTCTTGGAGTGTCTCAACAGACCTCGAGGTAGGATAAAAGGCAGGACTTCCTGGCAGAAACGCTCAGTTCTGAGGTCAGGTGGAGTTCTTGAGCACCAACCAAGGCAAAATAAGGTCGAAGACCACACCACACTTTCCTCAATCACATCTTCATTCCACCTTTCCTTCTATTTCTCACGACTTCGCTGGGAGAAATTGTGTTGAAAGAAAATGGAAACACACACATACATAGGAGACCCTACAGATCCTGAGAATGGGTGCAGCCGTCACAGTCCGAATGTCCTTTCAGGGCCATCTGACCTGTCTGGGATCCAAGTATCCAAGTGCAGGCTTGTATGTCAGACCCGTGAAGCCAGGATTAAAGCCACTGAACGGCAGTTTTCCATCCCACGGAAACCGGCCTTGCTAGGGGCTTCCTCGGGGACCACTGACCTCACGCCACCACCCCTCAACTACTTCAACTAACCTACATCATGGCAGAGGCCTCCCTAGGCAGACCAGCCCTGCCCAAGTCCTGCTTCATGGCAAACCCTCCAGGCAAACGTCCTTGGCCTCCTCCGGGAGGCTGTGCTCAGAAGGTGCCCTTATTTACTTCTGTGGCTCTGAGACATTTAACTAGAGCCCAACACATTTCTTCCTGTTCACATAGTATTGAGTTAAAAGATTTTTAGGAGTAAACTTTCACTGGGAAAAATACCATTTCAGGAGCCCCAGTGACCACAATGAAAATGTTTTTACCTTCCCTTACGTGACATCGGCAATGCCAGGTCCAAGAAACGTTCTGGATCTCAGATAATGGCATATCCACTCATAGTAAGTCTTGGTCTTGTTTCACAAGCTATCAAATGCTGCCCAGAAGCAGGAAAAACCCCACAACGTGGCAGGGAGGGGCGACCAGCGTGAGTTCTAAGGCCAGACCACCCGGTCTGCTGACAGCATGGTGAGGGGCAAACAGTGCAGGGTCTAAGGCCAGACCACCTGGGTCCTGCAGACAGGGTGGCTTCAGGAGTTTCCTAAACCCTCTCCTCTCCAAGTTTCATGTCAGAAAAATGTGGTAATAACAGTGTCCACCTCACGGGATGACGGGAGCACACACAGTAACAGTGTCAGCAGGTGGCTTGCTGAGCACCTGCCGAGGCCACACTGCTGGAGGTTGCCCCACGTGAAATCCAATTCATTTAAAAATATATATACATATATATACCCCAAACCTACAACCGTATAAAGGTCATTAATCCTAGTTATCCTCAAGGCATTGAGCGATCAATAATGAGCCATCTCCCTGCTGCTGACCTGCCTCAGCCCCACCCTCCGGAAACCCCGCATCCACACCAGCCACACAGGATGAGGCCCGGGAAGGAGCAGGACTGTGTCTTGAGAACTTAAACTCTGGAAGCTGAGTTAAATCAGTGTCGCTCAAATCTTGTCACCAACTATCTTGTTAAATTGGGAGATTCCATCTCTGGGGATCTTGAAGGAACCTGAGGCTCTGCATTGAGTGAGGTGAGCACTCGTGCTGGAATGAGACGGCAGAGAAAGCAACAGAATCTGGGGTCGCAGCTGCCTGAGACTTGGGTCCCACCGGGAAAGTGGCATCAGGGCCCTCAGGACAGTGGCAGAGATCCCAAGAGGCAAGTCCCTGCGCAGAGACTCATAGACCTAAACTTTGCTCCAGGGCCAGGAGGGGCTGTTGCACTGACAACCACGAGGCAGGCAGCCTTCGAGCTCCTCCAGCTGCCGTCCGGCAGGCAGGGAGGGCAGTGCGCAGACCACACCGGGGCTTCCCCAGCCTACCAGGCTGGTACTCTTACTCCAGCCACTGACAAGAGTCCCCATGTTTCAAGCTAGGTTGAAACAGTGCCTCAGGCCTCGGGGCACATGCACCCCCCTGCAGGGCCACTCCTACCCAACACCTGGGGATGGCTATTCCCACACATCCCCAACTCACAGCAAAACTTAAAAATGAAAGTCGGAAGATACAGCCAGGAAACCAATGCTCAAGAAGTAACTCTAGGGTGACTCTTCCTAGAGCTATTGCTACTGAACATCTTTAAAAACATTTCCAGGCTGACTTCCTAGAGCTATTGTTGTTAAAAATCTTTCTAATTCTTCATTTCAAAATTAGCTTTTATTACACTGTCTTCCCTATTCTACCAAGACTCTAGAAAACAAAACCATTATAAATTCCAATTCTATCTTATAGGAAGTTAGAAATACACATGTTTCTTCAAAGGATTCTACATGTTTCCTTGGCGATATCCTTTTCATGCCCCATGCTACTGCCCACAATAGGAAATGCTTTTCAAACCCCACACAACCCAACCCAACCCAACCCAAGGGCCCTGAGACAGGCCCCTAACGAATCGTCTACCAACTCCTGAGACAGGCTTGCCCTAATGAATCATCTGCAAACTCCATCTTCCATTAAAAACAGTACTGAAAATGAGCATATTACTGCTTTTTAAAAATTGCTGTAGAGCGGACAGTGTTCAGTTCTGTGAATTTCGGCACAAATATTCCCATCATCACACAAACAGAACAGTCCAACAGCCCCAAACCCACTCACGAGGCCTCATAAGCATACCCTCCCATTCCCAGCAACCACCGTCTCCGTGTTCTCCCATCCTCCGGGTCTGTCTTTTGCGAGTGTTGTGGCAAAACACTCGCAAAATCATAATTTCCTTGGCATCGTGCTTGGAGGTGCACCCAGGGTGTCCTGTGATCAACAGCCAGGCCTCGGGGCTGCTGGGTGTTTATTATTGTAATCTGTTTTGGGCAACTATAGACAGCGCTATTAACATCTGGGCACAGTTTTTCTTAAACATCAGCTTCTGTTTCTCTAAGGTAAATACCCAGGATTGGGGTCACCGGGCCCCACGTTTGTGTGAGTTCAGTTTTGCACTTCTGTGATTCTTCGGATACCTCAGGCCATCTGGGCGTATATACGTGCAAGTCACAGGGGATACGATGGCTTGGCTTGGGCTCACAGGCCTGACGACTATAGTCTTTACTTTTAAGGTGTGGGGTAAGATCATATAATCCCCAACTAAGCTCCTGATGCTGTGTGCGGCATCCAGCAACAGCACGTTTCATTCCTGGATTACATTTGACTCAAGAGTCCACAGTGAGAACGATTTCTGGTGAATGAAACACCAGGCAGGAGGGTGATTCCGCTGGGCAGCTCTTCACACACAGTCCAGGAGCTGGGGGAAGAGGAAGAGGCCCACGCGCGTCAACCGTGCTCACGTCCCCTTGGAATGCCCCCCACTCCTAGAGGCCCGGACCCAAGGGAAATCTGACCTGAAAATGGGCAAACCCTCACTTTGGCAGAGGGACAGGGACTCGGGGCCACAACTTGACCTCAGAGCAACACAAGTGCAGACACAGCACCCCAGGACACCCTCCCCACCCAAATTCAAGGAGGAAAACCAACGCCCCGCCCCCTTGCGGAAACCCCCGGCTGCTGCAGCAGACGCCTGCCGGCTTGTGCAGCCTCTCCAGTCCCACGTTCCGGGCTCAACACCTGTGCCTCAGCCCTGGCACTCCTCGCCACACCCACAGGTGTGCCAGGAGGGGCACGTCCCAAGATCTCCACAGCACCAAAGCCTGCAAGGCAAAGGGGCCGCTCCCTCCAGCAGGAGTCCAGAAGCACACACTGCACCAGCGACAAGGCGTGAGAATTCTCCCCTCGGTCTCCAATTCTCCAGTCTGTTGCCCGCCAGGGTCTTCTGCCAACGGCGAGGCCCAAGCTGGGAGGCACATTTGGTTCTCACCATTTCCCTTGTCAAGATCAATACTGCAAACATATCCAATTCATCCTGTCACTAAAAATGAAATAATCTGCCATCTCCATCACAGATGACTCAATCAGGTTTCCATTACCGGGTTTTTTGTTTTTTGTTTTTCTATTTTGAGATGGAGTTTCTGCTCTGTCTCCCAGGGTGGAGTGCAGTGATGCGATCTCGGCTCACTGCAACCTCTGCCTCCCGGGTACAAGTGATTCTCCTGCCTCAGCCTCCCAAGTAGCTGGGATTACAGGTACCTGTCACCATGCCGGCTAATTTTCATATTTTCAGTACAGACGGGGTTTCACCATGTTGACCAGGCTGGTCTGGAACTCCTAACCTCAGGGGATCCACCTGCCTCCTCTTCTCACAGTGCTGGAATTACAGGTGTAAGCCACCACGCCCAACCATAACTGGTGTAATTTCTAAGCCACTCTCTCACACCCACTCCCATTTTTTTTTTTTTTTTTTAAAGAACCAGCTTTATGGCTATATTTTTTCCAAGAGAATCAGTTACCCATTTGAAGTACAAATAAGACACCGTGTTTAAAAACCAAAAATGCCCATTTGCACAGAAGTCTCCAAATACCCAGTCGATTTGAGCCTTGAGAATAAGATCAAGCTGTTGGCTGAATACAACTTCCTTTTCCATCTGTCTGCCTGTGAGTTAGACACAAGGACAAAGCCACGAGCTAGGGACATAAAGGCAGGAACCAACAAGGCAGCCGAGACTCCAAATAAAACCTCGAAGGACCAACACAAATGCACCACACCCTGTACGCCCTCCTCTCCTTCCTTTTTCGAATTTCAGAGGATGAAACAGGGACCTCCTCAGACGTCCCATGATGCAGGCAGCCAGAGGGGAAGGCGGCAGCAGCCTGAATGAGGTGACCGGGAAATCACATTCCACAAACAGAAATTTTCCATGTGCTTTACATCCTCTGTCTCTGAAGAACTATGCCAGGCTAACAGTGGCTAGAAAACCGCCTTCAAGTGTCATTTCCCATTTCAAGCAAAGAAAACAGTGGTGTGGCATGAGGAAAAAACATAGCCATGTGTTCTGTGGTATTAAATAGGTTTTTTCTGTTATAAACATATAATTTTACATTCTCAGTTTTCTGTATAATTGATAGGCTTCCTAATTAGCAGACATAGTAATAAAAAGCGAATTCCAAGTGTAAGATCAGAGGACCCGTTCACATGGCTTCAGGTTCTGCTACTGTGCTTCAACTTAAGAAAATGGTTCTGTGCGTTGGTAACAAGGCCTGAGAGTCTGTGTGTGAGTCTGTGTGGCTGTAATCAGGGTTCGTGTTGGCTCCGTAGCAGAGGATGTTACACTGTTACGTTATCTTCTACAAAAAATCCTGAAAAAACGAAGGCTGAATAGACATACACACCCTCCCCAAATAATCCAAATGTCCACCGATATGAAAAACAGATGAATTACAGTTTCCATCATGGAATATTCCTCAGCAGTGAAAACAAACTATAGCCACAGGTGCCAACTAGGATAAAGAAAACCTTTTAAACAAGTTTAAAGTCAACTGACTAGGCGGAATTCCTCGATTACAGGCGTCTGCTCCAAAATGGTCCTGTTCTGAATCCTGTGATGTAGAATGATAGTTAGCAACCCTGTTTCAGGGCATATCTAGAAAAAAGCAAAATAATGACTACACAATTTTAAATTCTTTGTAAATTATAACTATTACTATGAAAATTCTAAAAATGTGAAAATCTTCCCAACTGTTGTTGGGCAAGCTTCAAAATAAATACCCTGACATTGCTTGCCACACCCACAGGTGTGCCAAAATAAATGAAAATATAGCCTAAGTTAGTAGAATCAAAACCTGAAGATGTACGAGCCGTCCCTGCCTCACTATCTATACATCATGTAGAAATTTAAGAGCAGGTAGTGACACTGCAATGCAAGGCTCAAACCAACTGGGTATTTGGAAACTTCTACGCAAATTAGCATTTTCGGTTTTTAAACACGGTGTTATTTGTATTTCAAACAGGTAACTTTTTGATTCCCTTGGAAAAAATATAGCCATAAACCTGGTCTAAAAAAAAAAAAATACGGGAGTGGATATGAGAGAGAGCAGCTTAGAAATTTTAAAAGTATCAGCAGGGAGCAGTGGCTCATGCCTGTAATCCCAGCACTTTGAGAGGCAGGCCCAAGGGGCCTTTGAGGACACCGGTCTCCTCTGCTGCCTTCCTGCTGGACTGACCCCAGGATATTCACTGGATTTCCACCCCTGTCTCATTCAACATCCCAAGGGTGGTCTTCATCCTCGTCTGGGGCTCAGCTCTGCCCCAATTTCTTAAATCTCTGCCTTCAGAGCCTGAAAACACCCATGCACAGGGTCACCCTAAGTCCACGTTTACCCCAGAGAGTCCCAATTTTATGTTTTGCCAGCATCACCTTAGTGATAATTTATCCTGTCAATTCCAACTGCCTTCACACCTCACCCCTGCTGTCTCCCAGCAGACCCCACTCAGATGCACATGCCCCAGACCCCACACCCAGGTCTCTGCATGCTGCCCTGCTCTGCCCATGTGGGGACCACCTCTCTTTCTTGAGGAATCAGCTGGCGATCATCTCCTTGTGGAGGGCTGCCCTGACTTCCAACTCTCTCCAGCAAAGGCAGAAGCCATCCTCGGTACTTCCCCAAAACTCAGGCAAAGTACGAAGATGGCACAGATGCTAGCTGTGTCTGGGATGCCATGGGCAGGGTCCCCAGATGCTCTGCACGTGGCCCGGGGCACCGCCTGAACATAGCAAGTGCTGAAGAAACAAAACTGACATGCGCTGACCTCTGATAGGGACTTCTTCACCATCCACATCTGTCTCCCCTCTGGACAGTAAAATCCACAAGACATGGAGGGCTTGTCTCACTCATCTTCAAACTCCCAGAGTCACCCTGGTAGGTAAAGGGGACTCAAATGTCTTCTGAAGGAAGCGGCTGGTTAGCTGCCAAGTTAAAGGGCCTCTGAAATTCAGAGCTCTGCATAGGAGTCCAGCACATTTTATTATGAATGACTCCAACCACGGCAGAAGTGGCCGTGGAACCAGTGCTAACCAATTCAGGGTTTGTTCACTGTTTCTCAGTTCATTATCACAACTCGCTCTAACAGAGCAGCCGCGCACAGATCCTCAGACGTCTACACAGAGTGGGACGATGGCGCCGAGTCACGTGAACGTCCTGTTGCAGACTGGGAGACACCGGTCAGACACGGACCCAGGCAGAGCACAGACCTCACGTTAAATCTGCTCCCTGTAAACAGCACTCCCTGCCAGGCCCTTTCCTATCCGCACAGCTTCTACAAATTCAACTCTCGCACCTGACACCTAACAGTACTGCACACCCCCATGTGAAACCCCCATTTACCTCCCAAAATGACCCGGCATGGCCGAGTACAACCAATTTCAACATAAGGGAACTGGAGGGCATGTGGGGCTTTCTCGAGTCCCTGCTGCCTCCTGATGGGAGGGCCCAATGCTTCACACCCCTAGTGAAGGGCGGGTCTCTTCGGTCCCCCGGCTTTGACCTGGAGCTAATCAGCATTAACTAATTTCACTTTCCAGGACCAACTTCAAAGGCCTGCAAAGCCAGAGAAGGGAGAGGAGATGGAACACGCCCTCACCTCAGACCTGCTGCCAGCACGCACTTCTCAGATGCGTCCCAAGGTGCACAGCGTGTCCGATGCCTGTTTCACATCCACCGACCTGCAGGTCTTCTATGTGGCATCAGCCTCTTGGGCACTGGAACCAAGAGGTATAATGGCAAGTCCCCTCTGCAGCAAAGGTGAGGTAAAGGGACCCAACGCAATGGAACTGACCTTTTTCTGACAGTTTCAAAACAGAAGGAAAATACTATACAACCAACTTCCCCTCATGCAGGTTTATTTACCTGTGACTCAGAGGCCATGACAGACAACTTCAGGTTCTTACCGATTCCTATTTTCCCCATCCAGGAAGCCTTTGTTTTTAATATCGTATGCACTTGCCATTTTGTAGGCCAAAAACAGCAAATACTGGCAGTTTCCTACAGTTCAACTGAATAAAATATGATCATGGCCTTTTGTGAAACCATGAAGAAGAGGTGGATATCTCAGTATGTGTTTCCAGACTGGCTTTGTTCCTGAAGCGGTAACTCTGTTCACTCAGGATTTTAGACACTGAAGAATAAACATCAATATCCCACCAAGAAAATAAAAAAAATGAAATAATTTTGCATCCACCTTGGAGCCTTTTTAGGATAAGGCAGGACACAAACTTTTAAAAAGTTGCAGTTGTCCCTCTGTATACACAGGGACATGGATTCCAGAACACCCCCCGAGTTTACACAAATCTACGTATCCACAGGACTCCACGGCCACCCTATGGAACCGCATGTAGGAAACGTCGGCCCTCCACAAAGCCAGGTGTTTTCAGTAAGGGTTTGGTTGGAAAATAATTAACGTAAGTGATCCTTCGAAGCTCAAAACCTATGTGGTTCAGGGTCAGCTGCATTTATTACTTGTGTCATATCTGAGGCCTGAAAGCCATCATTCTCGATACCTTAAGGTGATGGTTAACAGACTAACTGTTCTGATTAGAAAGAGGAAAAAGCTTATTTTTAAGCTGACAATGAGAGTGGACTCGGCTACGGTGAACGGAGAACAGACCCAAGCAAGCACCAAGGCTGGGGTGACTGCCTGTGCTCAGACCCACCAGGGCCTGTTCCTCCATCTCCCTCTGCTGAAAGGGATAACCGCTTCTCCCCCACGACTAAAGGGCCTTTTTTAAATACTCACACGAGAAGTGCTATGAAAAGCTGAAAGGTCACAGATAACATTTTTAAAAATAAACATTAATGTAAGCATTTAACAAGCCCATTATGATTTTAAAAAAAAATGGTAATAAGTTCTTGGGTGTGGTGGCTCATGGCCGTAATCCCAGCACTTTGGGTGGCCGAGGTGGGTGCATCACCTGAGGTCAAGAGTTTAAGACCAGCCTGGCCAATATGGTGAAAACCCTTCTCTAACGAAAATATGAAAATTAGCCAGGCGTGGTGGCAGACGCCTGTAGCCCCAGTTACTTGGGAGGCTGAGGGAGGAGAATCACTTGAACCCGGGAGGGAGAGTTTGCAATGAGCCAAGATCGTGCCATTGCACTTCAGCCTGGGTGTTGAGTGTGAAACTCCATCCCCCCCCCCAAAAAAAAGTATAAAGTTTTCCTTCCAATGAACCTATCATTCAGCCACCGAGGTATCCTATAGCTACTTATTCAGCCATGAGATACACAACAGGAGATATAGGCGAACAGGACACAGTTCTTCCCTGAAAGAAGGCTGCACCCTCAACAGAAGGGAGGCACATACTCTGAATGGAATCGGCATAGGGAACAGATGCTGCTGCAGGTGGAACTGGCTGCACAGAGCACCCGCTCAAGTGTCTGAGAAAACAAGGAGCCGTTGGTGCCATCACCTTTCATACCTGAGCTGGGTGGTGATGACATCACTACCACTACCACCCGGGACAAAGAGCCCCAGAACCACAGAACGAGCTTACAAACTCACCAAGGCGACGACCGAGTAATGTGCATGGAGTGATGCGAACACGCAGACGTCAGGGCCACGCGCGGAGTTGGTTTTGTGCATCAACCTGAGCGTGCCCAGGGTGCCCAGATGGCTGGTTCTGCATTATTTCTGTGTGAGATACATGTTTGCCTCTGGACTGAGTGGAGACCCATCCTCGCCGGTGTGGGGGGCACCACCCTATCCACCCAGGGCCCGAGTGAAACAGCAAGGCGGGGAAAACTGGGTTCACTCCACCTGTCTGGCTGATGGGCCAGTGACATCTGTCTTCTGCAGCCCGTGCTCCTGGGTCTCAGCTCCTCAGACCGGTCTGGGATCTGCACCCTCCGCTTCTCAAGTCTTCAAGCCACACCCTCCTAGGACTCCAGCTTGCAGGCTGTGGGTCCTGGGGCTTCTTGGACACTGTAGCCCCTGCAGCAAGCCTCGCCCTGGAGACACACGCACACCCGGCTGGCTGTCTCTCTGGAAGCCCTGACTAAAAGCCGCCCCTGAAAGTGGTCTTCAGAGATTCTTTCTAGCCCTAAGATCCCAGCGCCCCTCCTACAATTCTAGGCGGAAAGGTGAACGGAGACCAATGGACAGAGGTGTGTGTGAGGACACGCCAGGCAGCAGCACTGGGCAGGAGGGCACTAACGCTCACTAAGCAAAGAATCAATGCTGCTTGCCACAAAAATGAGAGCAGTAAAGATTTCTTCAAACAGAAATGAGTTTGTTTCATGATTTGCTCTTAATACGTAAGAAAGCATAAAATTAGGCCTATTAACAATTACATAAGTCTTTAGAGGCCCTTGAACTACTTCTGTCCCTTTGTGTTTTTATAGAAAATAAGCCTGAGGTTAAAGAGAATAACGTCACTGGCCACAGCTGGGGCCACGCGAGGACACAGCTTGTACCCCTGAGGTCCCTGGGTGCCCCGAGTCTTTCCCTTGCTATTTATGGAAATATGGGAGAAACCAGGAGGCCTGAGCACAGACCTGGCCGTGCTCCTGGGGACCGAGGAAAGCACCCATCTGTCCAGTCTTCCCTCCACCCCGCGGTTCCCTCTTACCCAGACTCTTGGGCTGACGCGGCTCATGCACTCAACAGCGCCATCATTAAACGTTTAGCTTCGCATCACGAGGGCCTCCTCTGGCCTCCTCTGACCACTCCTGAACCTGCAGTCAGCACTAGTCTACAGGACACGCGTGGAAAAAGTTCATGGATCACGGCCTCCAACGAGGAAGGTGCCAGGCAAGGAGTCAGAGAGCCGGGGATGGAGCAGCACTCACCCAGGGAGGTGAAGGCCAACAGCGGTCACCACCGAGGGCCTCCCTTCCCACCCTGAGGACAGCTCACCCAGGAAAGCGAAGGCCGACACCGGCCACCACTGAGGGCCTCAAGGGCTCTCCCCACCCTGAAGGCAGCTGCGATCACATTTCCCATCGCACAAAGAGACCCCTGTATTGAGCACAAACCTTTCCAACCTTTGAATCAATAAGGAATCACAACACAGACATTCACTCAATCCAAATGGCCAGCCCACAAAACAGACACGCAATCATGCACATTTCCTGTGGGAAAATCAGTCAGTCCCTGGGGCCTCGCGCCAGAGGTGGGGGAGCATCATGGGGAGATGCCCCAGCCCCAGCCTGGCTCTTCTCTCTACAGCTCCTTTCCTTTTCCCTGCACTTCCCCCCGCCCCTTCCCACCCCCTCCCAGCCTCAGAGGCTCCTTCCTCAAATTCTTTCCCCTTGATGAAGTCATTCATGCCCAAAATACAAGGCAAAGTCATGGGGGCTCAAGAGAAAATCCATACCGTGGCTCGCATTTTAGATTCTCATAAGTTTGAGAATAACCATGAAAGAATCTTTGGCATGTGATTGCGGTCTGAAGGCATCTGAGCACAATGCCCGGCACTGGCCCGGAGTGGATCATGGGTGTCTCGGACATCTTCGCAACTCTACACCAATTATTTTGAAACACACCAGCAGAATAGAACCACGTGAATAGCTGCTTCTCAGTTAAAAGTAGGAAAAGACTCCAAAAGCTGCCCTCAAGGACCATCCTTCCCACCAGGAGTTTTCTGCATTGGGTCCTTCAGGCACAGTCAAGGCCCCTGGGCCCAACTCCCTCATCCCTGCGTCATAAAGCAGCAAAGACGGTGAGGAATAAAGCAAGTGAAGGAGTCAGTCCCGCACAAAACGGGCTCCAGAAGCCACAGCCACTCTCCCAGTGTGGGAGCCAAGTTCAGAGACCTGGAAACACCAGCGTTCCCAGGGAGGAGGGCAGAACAATGCCATTTCCCCCTAGTTTAGGGAGACACCACCCCACGTCCTCTGGCCTTAATAGAAGAGAGACTTCACATAAATGATTTCAATGACTCCACCACACAAAGTGGGCTAAGGGCTAACACACTCAAATAAATGCCAGGCAAAAACACATTAAATGAACACACAGATAAGCAAGGTTCTCCTGTTATCCACTAAATATTCAGAAACAAATCCAGTAAGCAATCTCTTTGCAATCAAAAGACCAATTCAGAAGTGCAGATTAAAAATAAACATACAACTGAACCCTTAATACACCAAGAACCAAAATCCACGGAAGTGTTATCACATCACCACCTCCCAGCTGAAGGAAGCAGCACTGGCCACTGACCAGCTGTTCACTCGTAGGTCAGTGAACGAAAGGCAGTGCTGTCCAGGACAACGATGAGATGTTAACCTGAAAAGGGCAAAATTGCAGAGGCTGGAGGGACCTTCCAGGTAACCCGGCCCCCTCAGTGGACAGAGGACCCCCGTGGGGCCACAGAGCCCAGAACTCCAGTGTGTTCGAGGCAAGGACTCAATTGCAACCCTGATGATGTCCGAACGCCTTCTGCCCTTCTGTGTCTCTGCCCCACTAACAGGGAATCCGTGAATGCTAAGGAAATGTAACACATTTTACAATACATGTAGATTTTTAGCAAATTAAAAATAAAGTGACAAACTTTGAGAATTAACCAAAATATAGTTCAATGAATGCCCAAACTCAAAGCTAGTCTCCAAGAGGTGATAAGCTGTGTGTGGTGGTTAACGCCTGTAAATCCCAGCAGTTGGGGAGGCTGAGGCAGGAGAATCACTTGAGCCTAGAAGGGTGGGGTTGCAGTGAGCTGTCATTGTACTACTACACCCAGCCTGAGAAACAGAGTGAGACTGTCAAAAACAAACAAACAAAAACAAATTAAAGGAGTTCAAACGAACTCGCCCATACCCTTTAAATTTTCATTTGGGTACATGGGGTGATCTAGTTCCTTTTTCCCTTGCAATACATGAATAATCTAATAATTCAATATAATCTAACAATTACATGGGAAAATTTAATTATTTTCCCATTTCATTATTCCCTATCTCAGGGAAAAAGTTAAAATTATTCCCTATTTCAGGGAAAAAGTTAAAAATCATTTTAAACCTTCCTTCCACAAAACAGTATACTCAGTCATCTCTATCTGCTTTATCATGTGGAATTCAGCTTAACATGTCTACAATACGGTTTTTGTTAAACAGCGTTTATGTAGACAGGCAAGAGAAAGAAACACTTGGTCTATGTAGAAGCAGCAGAAGACACGTTTTAACAGAAAAGGGAGAAGATACCACCATGTGAATCTGGAAATTCTGTCCTCATCTTGTCCGCACACACAGAAAACACCCAAGCACGTGCCTGGTGTCCAACAGGAGCACAGAAAGGACGAGGATCCCTCCAGTTGTTTGATGACCAGCCCCACTTGTCACCGCCACATAACAAAATCCGCACGGCAACTTCAGCAGGTTTCATTCACGATTCCACGGAAATCAGGCTGAAGAACATACAGATGTTTTGCCCACATTTAAAAATCCAAGTGTGGGACTCATAGAAATAAAACACATTATGGGTTCACTTAACTTTTCCAAATTTTTACTTGGAGAAACCTATAAAGTTCTTGTCAGTTACATCCTTAAGTTTTTCAATAATTTTTAAATGCAAAGGTCGGGCAAGACTTGTAAAGAGGTACACACATACGGCCCAGCGCGGTGGCTCACACCTATAATCCCAGCACTTTGGGAGGCCGAGGTAGGCAGATCACGAGGTCAGGAAACCGAGACCGTCCTGGCTAACACGGTGAAACCCCGTCTCTACTAAAAATACAAACAACTAGCCAGGCGTGGTGGCGGGTGCCTGTAGTCCCAGCTACTTGGGAGGCTGAGGCTGGAGAATTGCATGAACCCGGGAAGCAGAGCTTGCAGTGAGCTGAGATCGCACCACCGCACTCCAGTCTGGGTGACGGAGGGAAATAGTCTCAAAAAAAAAACAAAGCAGGTACACACATACATGCCATGTTCTTCTCTCAAAGAGACGGGTTCTTTTTTAAGATTCCAGAAGTAAATGTGGTTGTCACCCTGCTTTTGAGATGATGGGCTGTGTTTTAAGCATGAACAGACTTTCCTCCATGCACCAAGGATGCACCATGGAGGCAGCGCTGCTGCCGCCTCCCTAGTCTCTGCCCAGGGTGGGGCAAGGGGAGCTCAGTTGTCTCCCGTATACACCGTTAACAGGCCAGGTGCTCAGAAGGAGGCTTCCAGGACTCGCTGTAGGCATTTGTCAGCAGGGCAGGCAGTGCCTCGTGCTGGTGGGGATTCAGCAGTAAGGGGGTCTTGCACTTCACTCCCTGGGCCCAGCCCCAGACAGAGGGGAAAGAGACACCTGTATCATAAGTCACATGTATTTATAGATACACAGAGACACTGCAGTGCAAGGTGCAGAACTAGAAGGAATCATGGAAATAAGAGGGAAGACATTTGGTTACGACTGGCAGAGCCACCGCAAGCCTCAGCACTTCCTGCCGGAGCCCTCCCTGACCAGACTCCTCCAGGGTCACTGCCACTGCCTTGCCCAGCTCATGACAGGGCAGACAGTGACAGAGCCTCAGAACAACCTCCCACTCCTTCCTCACCAGCCCAGGGGACGAGTTGTTCATGAGTGTCCCAAAGCCTGAATGCAGGAACACAGAGGTGACTGAGCAGAAAGGGGGACAGCCACGATGGCCGTGGGTGTGCAGATATTGCGGGGCACCCCAGCAGCCCTTTCCGTCTTAAAGAGGATGGCCACAGGTGTGCTGATGCTCCCGCGTAACCCAGCCGTCCTCTCCACCTTAAAGGGGAATGGCCACGGGTGTGCGGATATTCCCGGGTGCCCCAGAGCCCTTTTCACCTTAAGGAGATTTTCACAGTCTCATATCAGTCTCCAAACTATTCAGTGAGGTTGGAAGAGTATCACTGTGGACCAACACTGATTGGCACCAAGTAAGGGCAGTTTTATAACCATGTCTCAACCATGAAACAATCAGGTCTTTGGCTATCTGGTCTAAGCTTTTTCTGTAACAAAGTTGGATAATTAAGTTGAACTTTGGTTTTCCAAAGCTTGTTACAGAAACCACATCTTCCTAGGTGTGGCTCTGTGGTGTCACGTGCACACATCAGTAGCCAGGCTTGCCAAGACTCAGGGCACGTTACACGTTCACCTGAGAAGGCTGCTCAATCACTGAGAGCTCTGGCATGCTCTGAAATGAATTTGCCACTTCAGCCTACACTCTATTCCCTTGTTTGGTTAAAGAAACCCAAGCAGAATGTGTTTTGGCCAATCGCGTGCTGACCCAACTGCAGAGGTTTTAATTAGAGTACTTTCATTGCATCATAGAAAGCAAAGTCATATAGATCAACTCATATTACCACTCCAAAGGTTTAGTAAATCTCTAGATAATCAGGCAAACATTTTAAGAAGCTACATTGAGGTTTACAATACTCAAAATTTAAAACTACATCCATGCTTCCAAAAACCACCATTCCCATTTTAGATGGCGAAATGCATATGAGAAAGAAAGAAACGTGCTGAGCACATTTTTTGGGTAATCTTATGGAGAAACTGCCACTTTAAAAATGGCTCTAGTTCCTGGCTCCAGATGGGTGTGGTGGGTTGCCTCACTCAATTTCAACTCCACCTGAAGCTGGGACACTAGAAATCCATTCCCAGACTCCAGGGCACAAGAATCCCCACTTCTGGAAACAGCCTGGAATGCAGACCTGTAGCAGAGAATTCTTTCCTGCCCACCCTAACTGTCGTCTGTGGAAGGCGACAGTCAAAGACAAGTCCACCCCCCTAGGCGCAACCGCACCACAAAGAACCATTTCAAGGTGGGAGGTGATTGATTAGTGGGAACAGGCAGTTTAACTAATCACTTATAAGGCAGAGAAGTGGGGTTTGAAGGCCTGTATCTGGCCTTGTTCTCGGTAAATGATCACCCGCCAGTCAGCCTAAGCCATATGGGAAGGGACTTCTTGCAGTAAAAGTGGGGGCACAGTTGTGGGGAGGAGGAGTGTCTTAACCATCACTGTTTTACAGGATCACAGGGCTCAGGCATTTTACAGGATCACAGGGCTCAGGAAATGTTCAGTATTATCACACACTAAGGTTTTTTATATAGTCTGAAGAAAACTGCAGTCCTAAGGTGTCAGTTCTCAAAGCCTTAAGTTCCTCCTGCTAAGATTCCCAGCGGGTCTCGACTTCTGCACTGAACCCAACCAGCAC